CGACGTCAAAATACCTTAATATGATAAAAAAGGTCCGAAAACGACAAAAATCCAAAGCTCATAGGCAAATTCCGGAGTCCTCTATCAATTTTCGGAGTAAGGAGGAACTACTGAAGCCAACAGAACTTCCAAAGGACTCTTCTTGGATTCCGGAGTTAGGAGGCGAAGTCCGGAAGCCTGGTTCGGATATGCAAAGACGACTCCCAGTCCGAGATGGTGCGAGGCGAGATCTTCAGGGGCGGTATTCCGAAGCAGGCGAGGTAAGAAGCTTCCGGAGCTGCGAAATTGTCCGGATGGGAAGCTTCTAAGATGCGAGGTCCGAGGCAAAGAAAGTTCTGAAGATGTGCTTTCTCTTGGCTCCTTAGAAGGCATTCCGAACAAGAGGCTTAGGTACAAGAGGGTTCAGGATAAGAGGTTCAGGACCAAGTAGGTTCCAGATAAGAGGTTTAGGACCAAGAGGGTTCCGAACCAAGAGGGTCCTTTTAGGTTTTCTCCTTCGATTTTTGGGCTGTTTTCGATAGAGGAAGGTAATTGGAGAGATTTCACATACTTGGAGATATTTGGGAGATTTCACATACTTTGAGAGATTTGGGAGAGAGAGAGAGAGAGAGAGAGAGAGAGATAGTGGGAGAGATTGAGATAGACTTTGTTGGGAGCCCTTATTAATGTTTTTCTTTGTAGAATAAGGGCTATAGACTTGGTTACATCCCATGAAGTTTTTAAAGTTAAAAACTTATGTATTACCCCCATGCAAGCATCAGGACAATAAACCGTTTTGTCTCCCTTGCCAAATAGTGGCCACATCAAGAGAACGTTTATCCCCAGCAAAAAAGGATCATGCAACAAAAACTTAAATGAAGGAATATGAATTGCAAACTAAAGTAGGAAAAATTAGGCATGCAAAAAAACTGGTCAAAAAGAAACTATACATCGGATTGTAGCTAGCATAGCAGAAGCAGCTGTACATGGTTGACCAATAGAATAATATAGATGAGATTTTATCATGCCATTTCTAGTGCCATCGTCACATATGTTCAGGTCAGGTACCAGGTGTCAATACTCAACCTAACAACTATAATTTTTATTTAATTGCTAACATTGTTAACTTGCTGCTGCAACTCCTTTTCTGAAATCTTCAGAATCAATGGAATATTTCAGCTGCAATTCAAACATGTATGGGCAGTCATAAGCACAATAAAGTTAATGAAAATGAAAGTGGGTAAATAAAGTCTCAAAATTTGAGAGCAAGCAAGGAAGGTGATACATGAAAGCAACAAACAACAAATGTACCTTCGAGGATATGAGTGTTGGCGCTCCGAATATCAGACCATGTTCATAAGAGTTAAAACCTTTAGGTACTTTTTCCTAATTCATTTGAATATCAGACTAAAAGCAACAAACAAAACAACATATAAGTATATAACACATGTGGAAGATAAGTGAAGCAAAAAAAAAAAGGTAACAATCAATCAAAAAAAGGTCATAAATGAAATGAAGTTACAAAGTGGAATTACTTCAATGAAAGTTTAAAAACTATAAACTATGAAGTTATGAGGATGTATGAGATATATACCTGGAAGGCACTAATTGCAAAAACGACAATTCAAA